TTAACAAAAGAGATAAAAGAAAAGGAAGACACAGAGTACTATCTAATATGGAACAAGTGGTATAACTGGTTGGAGACTAGAAATAATAGAGGAAAATAAATGTGGAAAGGTCAAAAGTGGAAAATGTGTGTATAATAATGTATAGTAATAATAATATGTATTATTTTTAGTATGAAGTATAGTATGAAGGAAGAAAAATGCAAACAAGAAACAACGGGACAACAAGGACAAATATATCTAAAGAAGAATAAGGGGGGAAATGTAAATAATAAAAGATTACTGTTACGAAATTGCTGTTTAAAAAAAGGAGGAGTATACACTCTGTGTGTATGTGTGTTATGTTTTGTTTTGTTTTGTTGGTTTAAAAAATAAAAAATTGAAAAAAATGGGGTGGGTACGATGGCTCAGTGGTTAAAGACACCAACTTCTCAGCTGGAAAGCTGACAGGCTGGGTTCAAGACCCAAGTGCTGTGTCATGGGATGAGCTCCCATTACTTGCCCCAGTTCCTGCCACCCTAGCAGTTTGAAAGCATGCAAATGTGAGTAGATAAATAGGTACAACTTCAATGGGAAGGTAACAGTGAGCTTATGTGCCTCAGTGTATAGTCATGCTGGCCACATGATCACAGAAGTGTTTTCGGACACTCCCTTGACTAAGAAACACAGACGAGCACTGCCTCCTAGAACCAGACACAATTGGACAGGGGAAAACTTTACCTTTATAAGGAAAATATTCTTTCTCATTCCACCATTGTTCAATTATGCTTTTCAATAAAAAGCAGAGAAAGGATACTGAGTAAATGCTTTCTGGGTATAATAGGCATGTTACTGGATAGTTATACAGAGAAAACAGGCAGGACTTTACTATAATACTGCTCCCTCCAATTTACAGGGAGGGAGGGAGGGAGGGAGGGAGAGGGAGAGAGAGAAGGTATCAATGAAGTATCTATACAACCAGAATAGTATGTAAATAAAGTTATTTTTTTTCTGATTTGTTTTCCTTCCTGAGTCATTTTCCTATAAAGGCATCAGTTTGAGGAGAAAGATAAAGAGACACCGAGAGGAATGATTTGTGAGTCAGATGTTTCTGTTCCTGCCCAGAAGGAAAAGTAGGTAGCATAAAAAATAAATATGTTTCAGCCTTCTTCCCATGACTGGGTATACTCAGATTTTTGTTTTTTATCTCTCTCTGTGTTTGTGGGTTGGAAAGAATAGAGAAAGGGAGGGATTTGCATACCCCACCAGCAATAATACCTCAATTGCTATGCTTTATTTTCCACTAATATACAGTACAAGATGACATGCATATGTTAGACTGAAATTATCAACTAATACATTCTCATGTATACAGTAGTCAAACCGAAAAGTGACAAAAAATCAGTGATAGTGATGTAAAATCAAATTAGTACTATTTTATACTATTATTTTAGTAAAGTAATTCATTAATCTGAATAATAATTCAGATTATCACCCAAGAAATAAAGGGTACCCTGGCCCTAGCTTTGATACAGGTAGCCTCTGAAAGCTTATCTTCTCTTTATAGAGTACAACAGAAGTAAACCCATGGCTTGCACATTTCATATATCTAAGGCCCACAGATTGCAAAAGTACCAATTTTCAGAAGTGTGCTTTCTTTCTTTTAGGAACAAATAACTGTATGATGTTCAATGCACCTGATCTGTCCTTAAACTCTCTTAACAACCCAATTAGGTGGTCAAGCAGAAACTTTTTAGTGGTATCAAATGATTTATATTTGAAAAGGAATTGAGATTCTTCCTTTCAGATCTACTAAAATGGGCAGTCACATACAGCCATTAAATTATTTGTACTTCTTCATATTCTTTCCTGATACACAGAGATTTCTGTCATTGCCTCACTCTGCTATTAACCAAAATGGAATTCTTTCTGCTATCATGAAGCTTCATAATTACTACAATTCAGGCCAGCTCTTTTTGCGCAAGACTATCTTTACTGGATACTTAAGACGTTAAATTGCCTCCATAAACCGTATACTGTAAATAACCAGTGTACCTATACAACTGAAAATATATTGATTATTTAATTCATTGTAAGTTTTAACATGATAATTTCTATTCTGCAAAGCCATTTGCTTGTTTTTGTACAATTAGTAGTTCTGATTGTTGTCTGGCTCTCAGGCGGTTTCTGGGTAATAACAAGAGCTGAAAATTCTCACAAGCTGTTAGCAGCCTATGTGGCCTCTCTACACAAGGAGTCCTCACTATCTTTGTGTGTGGAAGATGAATATTTGTACTGAGGAGTTTCTGGGCAGATTTCCTATATGGTTCAGAAGTGCAGAAAATCAGAATTGTTAATTACTCAAAGAGTCTCCATATACATATAAGAAAAAAGAAATATGCAAACCGCTAAATATTGTAGCTGGATTACCTTACCACATAGGTCAGTTGAGCAAAATTCTATTCAAATGGTAAATGTCTATGGAGATTCTCAGTCATCCAGTCATGGTTGTCCCAAAGATGCTTCTTCATTAGGCAACTGGACTTTTTTTTTTCTCTTTGAAGAAACTGAAGAAGCTTCTTGGATGAGAAGCGAAATGCCTTCAAAGAGAAAAAAGAAAGTCCAGTTGCCTCATGAAAGCTCCTTTGGGATAGTCAAATGGTATTTTTCACAATTCTGGAGATGAATGCTACCTGAGCAATGTTGAGAATAGAAGTCCATACATCTTAAAGTTGCTGAGGTTGAGAAATACAGGTAGTTTTTGACTTACAACAGTTAATTTAGTGACTGTTCACAGCTACAACGGCACTGAAAAAAGTGACTTATGACCATTTTTCACACTTACAACCATTATGGTATCCCCATGATCAAGTGATCAAATACAGATTCCTGGCAAATGAATCATATTCAGTATCCCGGGGGGGGGGACATGTGATCCCCTTTTGCAACCTTCTGACAAGCAAAGTCAGTGGGGAAGCCAGATTCATTTAACAATCGTGTTACTAACTTAACAACTGCAGTGATTCACTTAACAACTGTGGCAAGAAAAAATGGGGCAGAATTCATTTAACAACTGTCTCACTTAGCAACAGAAATTTTGGGCTTACTTGTGATTTTAAGTCAAGGACTATGTGTACTGCTGTAGCTAATGACTTAGATTTGAGCCAGTGCAAAGTTCAAGTGCAAAGTTCATTTGCAGCAGGATGTGTGGTAAAAATGTTTTCTCCTACAAAATGACAGGTTACTTTGCAAGTCAAGGCCAGTGAATTTTGTTCTTTCAAACCTAAATGGAATATGGTAAACCTAGGGCACAAATGGCTACTTTGAGGTGATCACCATATACTTCTGAGTTGACAGGAAATTCTGCTACAAATAGAGGAGCATGCCATGTGGGTGAGCCATGTGCCTTCCAAGTTACCCTGTTAACATTTAATCTGGAAAAGCAACTTTGCACTCAGTCTTCAGGTAGAGGTAGAGGTAAAACTTAGGTATACAGGAAGGCTACCAGCTGGGAACAATCGCCTTGTGCAGGCGAACTGAGTGATGTCTCCAATCCAGGGAGGGGAAGGATCAGCAGATGAAACTGTACAGTGGAACATGCTATCTGAAGAGGGTTTTTGCAGAGCCTTAATTAATTCTTTTAAGCTGTGGCTCTTGTAAGCCAAGAAAAGACACATTTGTGTCTTCTCAACTTTCCCACCTCTGACACGGTTGCTGAAAAGAATGTTAATGAAAGGAAAAATGCAGAGGGGCTCTGTCCCTTCCAAGTGTTGTTTCTCTACATTGCTTTCACCCACATCTTTACCATGAACTACTTATTTGATAAAATTATACACTGCCCTTCAACAAACTTCTAGGATGGTTTTAAAAAAGCAAACTTAAATGCACAAGTAAAATTTAATGTGTGAAATTGTGAATAACTGTTGTTACTTTATTAATGTGAATTATTAAGCAGTGATGAATCATTTTTAAAGGTTATTACAGCTATTGGGTCATTCAGCTGAATGACTGTTTTTTTGAAAAACATCCCTTCTACCTTTATCTCAAACTCCATGGGCAACATTTTTTGGACTGGCCAAATTTGTATCAGACAAATAAGTATTAATTCACTTAAAATTCTACCTTACTTTATGCACATGTCAGAAACAGGAACGACATGATGATGCACTTATCTCAGTTCAGGAAAGGTCTCTTGCAAAGACCTTAGCCCTTGCAAAAAGTACCAGTCAAAGAGGTTAATGTGGAAAAGTATATATGATATGCTTAAGTGAAGTCCTTTAAGTGTTCACCCTGATCTTGAATTCAATAGCCCATCAATGCTGTAGCCATTTTTAATTAGACATTTTAAACAAAGAATGTAAAAGAAATAAAGATAAGTAAAAAAAAAAGAGTAAAATACCAATGAATAAACAAGGGATCTAAAATGTAATGGAGTTTATAATTTTCCAATGTATCATTAATTACAAATGATAGAACGCTGCAGTCCTGGGTACATCTACTGAAGGAAACCTGACTGAATAGATTAGAGTTTCATTTTGAAGAAAAATGCATTGATTGCTTTATTTTGTTCTTTAAAGCAACGGCCCCCAACCATGGACCGGTTCTGTGGAGGGAGGTTTTTCTGCGGACCAGAGGTGGCATGGTTTCACGTGCTGCCTGCATCCCATGGACGGGACTTCGCTTGATTGTCTGGGTCAGTTGCTGGCATGCTGCGGACCGGTGCCACTCCATGGAGCAGGGGTTGGGGACCCCTGCTTTAGAGTATGAAAATAATTTGGAGAACACAATTACATGCACATACACAAAGACGTATGTTCCAAATAATTGCCTCATCTTCTTTCATTGATACTAGTTTTTCATCCATAGAAAGCTCCACCTTAGTAGAAGACTACAAGCATAAAAAGTATGCATCTCAGTTGTAAAAGAGTATCCTTGCAGTTTATTTTTCCTATACTGTTAAGCTTTGATTTTGTTTTTCTCTTTTCTTTGTGCTCCTTCGGTGTGCTCGGCCCCCAAATGCTTACCTTCTCTTCTACTGTTACGCAGGCATTTCACTTTGGGGAGCTTGATCAGCAAACGGCAATCATCCGCTTTGGAGACACAAACAGAATGCAATGTTATTTGATTGTTTCTTTTCATCATTCAAAGACTTTCACACAGTCAAGAGGTCAGAAAGTGAGTGTTAAGAACTTTAACAGTGCACACTTAACTCCTAGTTGCAGAATAGAAAAGAGTATGTGGCCAGTTTGATGTCAAGGAAAATGGGAAATTATAATACGTGGGGAAATCTCCTCCTTTTCGGGATCAAGTTTTCAGTCTCACAAAGGTTGAGACTGTGCACCAATACATGTGCATGCAGAAACACAGTTCCCTCTCTCCCTCCTTCTCAACCCCTCTTGTTTTCAAGTTCACTTACGATCATCGCTGAAGTCATCTACTAATAGGATTTCATGGACCAGATGCACCGGGGTTCGGTTCAGCACACTAAGGAACCATAAAAGAAAATACCCAATGGATTTTTCAACCAAAAAACAAAACTGGGAAACAATCAGGCAGAGTATACATTTCACCTGAGTAAGTAACAGTGAAGTTGTGGGGAAGGGATGAAGCCTTTGCAAAAAGTGAGTGTTATTTAAAGTTATACTACTTAAATAAAATTCCTTCTGATCGTTAATATTTTCCAACTCCAGTTAGAAATCCAGTCTCAACGGTATTTTCGAGAGCCTCTAGGGGCTGCCCTTAATCCTGAGGGTTCACTGCTTAGAGTAGTGGTTCTCAACCTTTTTAATGCCGCGACCCCCAACCGGTCGTAAGTCGAGGACTACTCAACTGGTGCAGCACCGTTTGCAGAATGGGACTTTTGGCGGGTTCAGCAGGGCAGAGACAGCCTGGACAATTCCTATTGGCTTTTGAAAGCCAATAGAATTAGACTCTATTCAAGAGAGTCTATTCTATTGGCTTTCAAAAGCCAATAGAATAAAAAGGAATAGCACAGCTAAGGAAAAGGGGGAAAAAATGGCGGACTACGTTGTTTGGTGACCCCCGTGAAATGGTCGTTCGACCCCAAATGGGGTCCCGACCCACAGGTTGAGAACCACTGGCTTAGAGCAAAGTATGAAGCAGGTGTTCCTGTACTGTTTCATCCAGGATCCAATTTAGATGGTAAGTGGTTTAGAAACAAAATAGAATTCCCATGATAGGCTGCAATTATAATAACTGTGGTGCAAGACTTCCTCAAAGTACCATAGCCACTGCTTGTGTTTCATCAATTAAAAAGCTAAGCTGAAGCATGGTACTCACCAGCTGTACTGCTTTACAGTCTGAAGTTCCTCATAAATAAAAAGGAATGCCTGCTCATAGAACCATGAAGTTGAAGTTTGCACTTCTGGGTAATAAGATCAACAGCATTTTACAAAAGAATACAAGCAAACATGGTCAAGGTTTGTAAAAACCATGTTCCTGCAACACTATCAGCTCTACAAAGAAACAATGATGTTTGTATTCCATTAGTTGTCACTATCAAAAGAAAGGAAATATATCTGGAAGGCTTTACAAAAATATTATTATTTAAAGAATGACCTATGTAACTTGTCAGAACAAGAGACAAGCAATTTCTGTGGAAAGCTAATTTTTGTAAAATGTCTTTAATTATAAGTTGGCTACAGTCATTGTCATTGTGAATACTTAAATTACATGCTAATTTAAACTGAGTCTGGTTTCTTTTAGCTAATGGGATTGCCCAAGCATTTAAAATAAATGTATCATATGAGTGTTGTTTTGAAGATAGCTATTTCCCTTCTTTATGTAATGTAAACAAATTATTCACTATCGGGGGAATATAAACTGCAGGTTACTAGTGAAATATGAGACAGAAAAAGATTGCCATTAACTCTGAAAAAGAAAGCTTCAACTAAAACCCAAATCCTTTTATTTAAAAAAAAATCAATGTAATTCATTTGAGGGTTATATTGATTAATGATATTGATTAATACTTTCAGGAAAATTTCATTGTTTGAATTTATATATTTGTGAATTTATATATGAATTAAACAATTACAAAAAGAAAAATAAAATGAAATTCATTACTCTAACCTGAATTTAATTTTGAATTCCCCATTTATATTGATTTTAACATAACATAATATCTGAGTCCAATCTAATAGGCTATTATCTAAGATATATGACACCAGTTTTGTTACTGTGAGGTAACATAATTTTATACAGAATTGGGGAATATATAAAGGATATATGTTGGAATAAACATATGGCAGAAGGATAGTTGAGCTGTCAGTTCTAGCATATTGCCCCCTGTACTGGACACTAGGCACTGGACATTGTCTCCTGCATTTGGAGGGATGGAATTTATATTTACTTGTGGTTTTAATCTTTGTCTATCTAAGTGAGAAGGAATTCTGTAAGCCAACAGAGACAAGGGTAGTGTCCAAATAGTTTAATACTGCACAAGCTGTTAAATGCCAACATTAGGAACAGCCTGGTGATGCTTGATGTTGCTTAGAGGGGCAAATGGTTGAATGCTATGAGTGTATGTAATTGTGGGGTTTGGGCTGAATGAGAAATAAGGATGTCTTGGTCTGGGAGGAGAGAGCAAAGGGAAGAGAGCTAGGGCTGGAGAGAAAAGGCAGGCAGTACCATTGATATAGTGCTCTGGTTGCACAGTGGTTAAAATGCAGCATTGAGGCAAACTCTGTCCAGAGCCTGGAGTTTGATCTTGACAGGGCTCAAGGTTGACTCAGCCTTCCATTCTTCCAAGATTGGTAAAATAAGGACCCAGATGCTGGCAATGCTATATCTAGTGGACCATCCTTCAATATTATTAGATCCTTAGTGGCCCTGAACTTGGGCTGTTAATGCTACCAAACTGTTGGATTCCAATATCAGTCTGGTTAAGAAGACCCCGAGATTGTTAGTGCTTGGACAGTTCAATTTGCCAACTGATGATGTTGAATATGGAGCTGCTCAGGAGTTTGTGATTTCTATGGCAAACGGGGACTTGTCCCAGGTGATTGAAGGTCACATTTTATCTTAGGAGAGTTGCAAAATAATCTGATAGTTAAAAATATTATCCTCACTCTGTTGCTATAGTCAGATCACACTATGATTGCCTTTTTGTTAACCCCCACCTTGTGCAGAAGAAAAGGTCTATTAGAATGGCCTATCAGAGATAATTTATGGAGCTGCTGGGTTCCAAGGAGAGCATAGGTTTTTGTAATGGAAGGTGGTTGAGAAGATGGTTGAGCAGTAGTTCCAGATTATCTGGACCCAATTTAGTCAAGCTTCAGGCTAAGTTAGATTACTGAATTAGAATTGATTCTGCTGTCAGTGACCTTTAGCAGAGATGGGATGCATCCATCTTTATACTCTTTGATTTCTTAACAGTTTTTGATACCATCGGTCACAGAATCCTTCTGGACACTCTGCAGCAATTGGGAGTGGGCAATTCTGTGTTATTGTAATTCTCCTTTCTCTGTTTTTCAGTTCCAATTACTGTTGATGGGGGGAGGTATCATTTCCTCTTCAAGATTTATATGAAAACACAGGGTGAGGTAATCTATCAGTTCAGGGTCTGCTATCATCAGTATGCAGATGATACTCACTTATACATGTTGATCCTAAAATGTGCAACTGCTGCTGTTGATGTCTTGCCTCTGTTGGCTGTTCCAGTCTGGATGGAAAGGAACAGATAGACTGAATCCCAACAAGACCAAGTGGCTATGGATATAGGGGTCCCCTGGTTTGAGGGAGTTCCCCTCTTTCCCAACCATCTTGGAAGACAGTTACACTTTCCCATACAAGACAGGTACATAATTTAGGTGTTGGCTTGGAGTCACACCTCTTACTTGAAAAATTCTGCATGTATCCATCTAGTACAGTGGTTCTCAACCTGTGGGTCGGGACCCCATTTGGGGTCAAACGACCATTTCACGGGGGTTGCCAAACAAGGCTGTCTGCCATTTTTTCCCCTTTTTCTTTGGCCACGCCCCTGGCACCCGGTGATGTATAAGTGGTTGGGGGTCACCACAACATGGGGAACTGTATTATGGGGTCGCGGCATTAGAAAGGTTGAGAACCACTGATCTAGTATATTAGTTATGCCTGTTCAGGGATTGGAGTACCCTTGGATAGTCACTCAAACTGTAGTCACCTCTAGAAGGAACTACTGCAATGTGCTCTACATAGGGCTGCCCTTGAAATGTCTTGGAAATTATCCTGCTCGAGAATATATTCCTGCATTTCAGACCAAAGCTCCGTGTTCTACCTGTCAATTGGCATTTGGGTGCCAGTCAAGGTGCTGGTTATAAGGCCTCTTATGGTGTAGGATCTGATTACCTGAGGGATCTCCCATCTCCAATAATTTCTGCCCATCCAATAAGATCCAGCAGAATGGATGAACTTCTCAATTAAATAATATAATCTAATTAGATCTCAGAAATATGGCTTCAAAGCCATGATCCCTGCCTCTCTGGACTGATATTCCTGCAGAGATCCACACAGATCCCATTCCGTATATTCCAGAAGGCAATGAAAACCATAAATCATTATTTTCCAAGACCTAGGGATAGCATAATGGTAAGCCGCTAAAATGGTGGTGAGTTTCTTTGGGACAATTTTTTGGATGCACTTCTCTTCACTTTATTGTACTGACATTTAATGACATAAAGCTCCCATAGTTGCTGAGAGTTGGGTGTTTTAGAAATTCAAATAAATAAATAATAAAAAGCAATCTATGATTTAACCATAAATGATTTTAAAAACCCATACTTTGTTTAGATGGAAAACGTGATTTACAACTCATGACTGGGTTTATCCAATGATAAAATAAGTAAGATCAGGTCCTAATATTATGCGTGAATATAGCCATACAAATATATACATATGCCAACCTAGAACACAACTCTGCCAATATAATAAAAGAAACCAGGCCCACACAATCATAGTATTTATTGATATTATTTCCAAAAATGAGAACACAATACCGTAGGAACTATTCTGAATAAATCAGGATCTTGTAGAACTGTTTTTTAAAAAACAAACAAAACCAGAAATTTGCTAGGTATTCTTCCTGACCAATTTCGGTTAACAGTAGACACTTTCTTACTTCTGTTCCTGAGGGTAGAAACTAAGTCTACTAGAGAAAATTAATTGAAAAGTGCTGCTCTATGTTTCTTTCAATGTTGTTAAGCTTTTTCAGGACTTGGTTTATTTCCAGATATATTATTCTGATTCCATTTTATTGATGTTTTTATCATTTTAGCTATTTAAAAATTGTACAATACTTTGGTACTTTTTATGTAATAGAGACTAAGAAATACCATATGTTTACAATTTCCCCCAAACATTTCCATTATATTATTGAATGAACCTGTTTCATTCTTGAATTTTCTCCTTCCCTACACATAATGCATAAAAATCTCATGAATAACTGGCTCCCATCTGCCAGCTGGCACTAACTTTCTACATTATAT